TATGCTAAACTATGAAGAAAAAAAATTAAAGAACAAATGTAAAATATATTGTCAAAGCCTGTGTTGTAACACAGATATACATTGTGATTACATTGAAAAAAGAAATTCCATTTATAACATGTAAGTCAGTTGTTCCACTTTGCACATTAAACTTTCAGCTTGTTTTCTAGGAAAGCATTGTTTTATTTATTTATTTTTTTATTTTTATTTTTTTTCGGTACGCGGGTCTCTCACTGTTGTGGCCTCTCCCGCTGCGGAGCACAGGCTCCGGATGCGCAGGCTCAGCTGCCATGGCTCACGGGCCCAGCTGCTCCGCGGCACGTGGGATCCTTCCCGACCGGGGCACGAACGCGTGTCCCCTGCATCGGCAGGCGGACTCTCAACCGCTGCGCCACCAGGGAAGCCCGGAAAGCATTGTTTTAAAGTGGAGATTGTCTATAGCTTTCTACTAATAATCAAAACCATCTTGATTCAACAACGTTTACTGTGCTGATATGTGCTAGTATGATCAGGAACTGACTCTGCCAGAAAGTTTGTCACTTAGTTTGGGAAAGAAAATGTCAGTAAATGGATTATTTAAAATTCAGAAAAAATAAGGAATCAAAAACAAATATGCAGGTTGAAAAAAATTTTTACAAAATAAAAAATGCAGTTTAAAGACATCAAGTACAAAATAATTGTATTTCTTCAATATGTTTTTTATGAATCTTTCTTAAACTGCCTTTGCCTGGTTCACTCAGGTAACCTGTTGGGGTTATTTTGGTAACATTAACTTAGTTCTACTTAATGCAAATAAATATTTAATATGCTTGGAATATTATTTTTACAGCAGCTTAAAAAAGGACCAGTCATATAATTGCAAAGAAATGAATCTGAAATGGGGCAGTAGAAAAATTAATTCAAAGCATCAATACACCCTTCTTGCCCTATCATATATATTTGGTTCCAAAATATATTTTAGGATTTTTCTCAATGGGTTTATGCTACGTTGATTAGTGGTGGGGATGGTGGCCCAAAATGTTTGTTTGTTTGTTTTTGGTAGAGAAGTTAGACTGTGAAAAAATTATCATGGGTATGACAGTAACGAATAGCCACAAATAGGAAGGAAATCAAGCAGTGAGTGCAAAACCTTAAATTTTATTTTTTAGGGGAAAGTTTTGCAATAAATTGTATTTGCTGAAAGAAATTTTCAAAGGTGAAAGGAGAGGGCTTACTTTCATCTATTTCATTACTAGGTTATCATTTATTAATGTATCTAATCTGGTAGAGATAGCTTAACAGCATTAAACAAGACATCTCAGAAAGGGCTAAATTTATTCTTAGAAGTATAAGATCATTAAGAAACTGTTAGTAAGCCTCTTTGTCACATTTGGTAGGCTATAAAAGCAATTTATTACTAACTTCTATTAGTCTTCACTAAAATAGAAAATACAGTATAGGAATAGCCTAGAAATTGTTTCACTGAATTATGTTTAAAGATTACATAATGGCTTGTTTAAGCTCTTTGCTTAAGATGATCAGAAGAGTTGGAGTCTATTGGTAGCTCGAAAGATTCACCCAGTAATTTGAATACTTACTAATATTCCTATTCCTATCATATGAGCAAGGTACTAAGATAGATGCTGCCCTGCAATGTTAAGTATTGTCTGGATCTACAAGCAAAACAACGTGAGTCAAGGGAATGATTTATGGGTCCAATCAGCCTTCCAAAAACTTTGCTAAAGGATCTTTGAACTGTACTAAGAGACCTGGAAATTTTATTGATCTCTAAAGTTTAAAACCACTTAAAGCCAGGAGAGATTTTAGAAATTATTTGGTACAATTCCTTCATTTTACAAATTAAAAAACTGAGCCCCAAAATAAAGTGCCCAAGAGCACAGAGTCAGTGGCAAAACCTAGATTAGAAGATTCCAGTCCAGGGTTTTTTTCTCCCCCACTGCTTTCTCACTCTTCCCTAAACATTTATTGATTCTTTCTTATGACCAAGGCCCAAATAATTTTAGGTCACAGTTACAACTTTTGAGGGACTTATAGTCTAGTTTAATGGCAACATAGTAGTGGGCGCATTTGACTGAATTATAGCTTTCTGAATTCTCAAGATAGTTCTACTGACAGCTGATTTCTTGTGATTTTTTTTTTTCCCCCTCCCTGGTTGAACAGCAGCAGGTTGTACTGTATAGTGGGAGGTCAGTGGCCTCTGGAATTGGACAGACTCAGCAGTGTGATGGTAAGATTCCTAATCTTGCTGAGCCTCAATTTCCTCATTTGTAAAAGGGGTCTCATAGCTAGCAAAGCTGTGGTGAGAATCTGTGATAACACATGCCAAGTGCCTAGCACAATGACTGGGACAGGGTAGATACTCAATACATGGAGCTGTTAGGATGATGACGAATGTAGGCCTCCTAGCAGTGTGACACATAATAGGCTCCAAAATGTCGGTTCTATCCTTCCCTGCTCTGTAAAGCTGGGATGGAGCATTTTGATTTGTGTTAAATTAGTAGTTCATAGCTGAAGTGACACAGATACTGGGTGAATTTGCAGAGCTTTTGCCAACTGTGCAAATATGAGGTAAATCTACAGAGAAATACATTAAAAAAATTATGTTTGATGAATATGACATCACATTAATCTTTGGCCAAGATTATAGATTCACACAAAGACCTACAATTAGATTAAAATTAAAATAATGCCATTGGAGATTCCCTGGCAGTCCAGTGGTTAGGACTTCACGCTTTCACTGCCAAGGGTGTGGGTTCAATCCCTGGTCCAGGAACTAAGATTCTGCAAGCCGCATGGTGCAGCCAAAAAAAAAAAAAAGCCATTAACTTTGTATCTTACAAATTTAGTTTTCTATCAATCCATACAGGCTAATAAATCAACATTTTTCATTATAAAATATAAAAATACACTTAGTCAACAGCTTCTCATCTTTAGTTAAAATTTAAGGAAATATTACTACAAATAATACTTTTTAACTTTACATCGAAGGGTTAAGAAAATTAGGTGTTTGTTTTGTAAAAGTGATTTATATGTGCTAATTAAAAAAATGGACACTACTCTCTATCAGAAACTTAATGTAAAATTTATTATTAATTACAAAGATACAAAAATGTGTCTTAGGATATGGTAATCTTCCTTAAAGGAAAAACTAACAATGTAATTTAATATTTGATACACAGGAAAGTTTTTGAAATTTCAAGTATCTTTCTTAAATAAATGAATTTAAGAAACAGAGGAAGACAACCTAGGTACATCTAAATCTCTCTAGTGACAATTTTTTATAGGAAAACCCCTGAAGAAAGGAATATATACATGTGTACATACATGTACACAATATTTTCTCATGAAATAATTGTAGAAGGGCAGTTTTTGTTTCCCTTGTAATTGTCACTATAGAGCACAGTGGCCACCTTATTTCCATTTATTTTCTGTAACCATTACTATGGTACATACCGTAGTTAATAATAACGATGTATCAAATCTGGTGACACACCAATAAATAAATAAATAAATAAATAAATAAATAAAAGTAAAGAGTACAAGAGATCACATATTCCCTGGCAGGATGGAGGTTGAAACGACAAAGTTCCAGTTAACTTTATAATCTATTTTATTAGCTTGAAAATAAAAGCAAACAAATACAATTTTGTTAGTACACACAGACAAGAACTTACATATTCAGAAGTCAAGAAATTTAATGTTAATATTCTAGAAATTAGTGCTATGCCTATGACCCATGGCTGTCTACCATAGGCCTTCCTAACCCCAAAGTAGAACTTATTTGGGATTTTTCAAAAAATGTACAGATTTACATAATAAAACCACCTGACCACAACTATCTTTTGTAACTGACTTCTTTCAAGTTCTTTGTGTTTAATTCCACTGAAATTGCATTATAAAACTGGGACTATAGTTGGTTATTGGCAAGAAGAAACATGTTGTTAGAACAGTACTTTCAAATGCAGTTAACTCAGTTCTTTCAACACTAACCTTGGACACCCTTGATACATCAGTTTACCAATAAAAGTGTTATGTGCTTTCCCAAACTTGCACATTTCCGATTATCATTATTGCAAAAATCTGTCTAGACCTCCCCCTAATTTCATTTCAATATGTCCATGTCTTATTCTTTGTGACTCTATTATATAATTTTGTGTAAAATAAAATCACTATGTAAAACAAATTTGGTTGGGTAATTAGTTTGGGGACTCTAAAATAATGACATATTTTAGTTACCATAATTATCACATCATATCTCATTATGCTGCTTTTTCTTCTTTAAAATAGGCCACAGGCTTATTAGTGTATTTTTATTGTAAGTAGAAAATTTATCTAGAGATCATGTACCTAGCAAACACAACGGTCTGTAACACAGTTAGAACCTTAAAAAAAAAAAAAACGCCCAGGTATACAAAGATATTCCCAAAGTCCATACTTCACAGGATGCACACTTAATTCATAGGGAAAACTTTCAAAAAGAACACATTTACTCTTTAAAAAAATTTCTTACAAGTATCTATAACAGTTTAGAACCTTAACAAAAAGTAAAAATGTTTCCCAGTCTCCATAGTTTTCAAAAAGTGCATATTAATTCATAGCAAAGCATTCCAGGCTCTCCCTCAGGCATGTTATCTTTTATTTTAGACAAAATTCCTATAAACTTGGTTGTCTGGATTCTTAGCCTGCAGTAAATTGCAAAAGAAACGAAAAACTGGCTGAGGTGAAAACATTACTGATCAACCTGACAGTAAGATCAGGTCAGTGGGTCACTTTTTCAGGTGACAGAAAAGGTATAAGAAATAGACAGAAGGTTTGAAAAACAGCAAACTGGGGTCGAGTGAGGAGGTAAACACCCCTCAATAGCTCCTAGGGACATTAATATATTTGGGTCCAATATGGCAGATGAAATTCACAATAATGTCCATTAATTATTAGAAAAACATTTAAAAATATTAAGTATATTGCTTCAAAAAAGTAGAGAAATATATATTTTTGAAATGTTTCTATTTAAAATGGTGAAAATTGAAATAAGTTTTATTGCTTAAAAAGATAAGCTTTGACTCTCTGGATAACGCATTTGTGTGGACACCTCACTTATTTTCCAATAATGTAGGGTAAAGTGAGGCATATCAAAATAACTCAAAAGCATGGAACTAATCAGGTTATGTATAATAATGTGGTTCATCAGGATAAATGTAGTGCATTCAAAAATCACTATCAATTCCTTTATTTTCTAGATTATATTCTTCTGGAGTCCCCTTTTCTCTTGTACTTGAATATACTATAAAATCATGAACTTTTCCTTTTAGAACATCCAGTTCATTCTGCATCTTTAATATGCTATTATCATACTGAATTCCTTCAAGGGTTTTCTGCATCTCCATGATTTCAGATACTGCTTTCAGCATATCATCTTCCATATTAAACATCTGAAGAGTCAAGTCTTCCATTTTCTTTTCTGTCCCTATCAGATCCTGAGAGACTCTGAGAACAGAGCGAATAGCACTTTCAATTGTTGGCAAATGTGTCTTGCATTCTTCAGCTTTGGGTTCGTAGCTGGAAAGTTTATTAGTCAGGTCTTCATCTCTGGCAAAGAGAGCATGCTGTTCCTCCTCTAACTTTTCAAGTGCTTCTGTGTCGGAGCCAAGCTGCTCCTCTACTCGCAGAAGATCCTCTTCTTCTTGTCTTTTTATAGTTCTAATATTTCTTAGTGTGCTATCTTCCAAATCTTTTAGCCTTTCAGTGAGCAATTTTATTTCTTGTTCAGCTGAGTTAATTTGGACAGTAACTTGAGAATGTATATGTTTTGATTCTGATTTGAAAATGTCTGTATTAACATTCATTTCTTCTAGGCTTCTCTTCCAGAAATCTGTAACGTTCTGGAATTTCTCATTAAGGCTTTGCATCTTTTGAGTGAGCATCTCTTCACTATTCTGAATGTCATGCATGATACTTTGGAGGCTGGATACTTCCTGCTCAAACTGGGTCACCAAAGACATGGATGATGTAGCTTCCTGCAGGATACTTTCAGTAGTTGCAAGCTGCATTTATAACACAAAACAATTCCCAAGGCTACTTAATAACTTTTATATTAGGGAAACACACTTTAACAATCACTTGCCAAGTTCAAATTCTGAAGATGTCTAAAATATCCGAATAAATAAGAATCATACAGACAAAAACAATTGTTATATATTTAAGTTATTAAAAACATGTTTTAAACACATTTAATAGATTAGCACTACGGTAGAAAAATACGGTTGTCCCTCATCCCTAGGTATCCACCTGTGGGGCATTGGTATTCCTGTGGATACCAAAATCCATGGGTGCTCAAGTCCCTCATGTAATATTTGGATGGGGAACCCACAGATACAGAGGGCCAACCGTATACACCTGAACTTATAATCCTAAATATCTGTGCATTTTCACGGAGGGATATTCAAAAGAAAAATAATGTTAAAGAAGCCTGAAATATATCACATTTCCTTCTTTTTTTATTCCAATGGAAAGCAACTTAGCTGTCATTTTAATAGTTATTTGGCTTTTTAGAAACTGACTTAGTTATAAAATTTGTTAACTTTCCTAAGTTCTGTGACTCTGGAAGACTTTCTGCCTGAAAAAAAATTTTGTTGACTGACCTCTTGCAGAAAAGGTACCAGAATCAGATCTTATAACTATCACAAAGGCAAAAAGTGAAAAAAAAAATCAGTTTACAGAGACAACTGATGTCAAACAGTAAAGTGTTCTAAGTATCTATAAATTATGGTGAGCTCCTAGCATCTCCTAAAATGTCTAGAATATAGAAGGACCAGGTTGTGGACCTCTTTCTTAGCCTATACTCACACAAAGATAACAGCCTTAGAGACTACAGGAAGGCCTAGAAATGATTATTAATTTATCAAATGTTTGCAGCATTATGCTGAAGACATAATACTGTACAAGACACAGTTCTGCCCTTAAGCAGCTTAGTTTAATTGGGGAGAAAGCAAAGTCTACATGCGCTGTGACAGGGAAAGAGCTATGGAAGCAC